CACCCCGCCGGCAGCTACTGGACCGCGGAGCGCGACGGCGAGGTGCGGCTGCGGCTGCGGCTGGCCGAGGACTCGAGCGCCGCGCAGGCGCCGCTCACCGTGCACGACATGGTCCTGCACGCGGCCACCAAGTTCGCCAGCTACATCGCGCTCGGCACCAAGCGCAGGAACCACTGGCACCTGGTCTCCTACGTCCAGTACTACGAGCTGTGTCGCCGCGCCGCCAAGGCCTTCCTCAAGGTACCGCGAGGGCGGCCCCGCCCGCCCCTCTCCGAGGACGCGCCCGCGCCCGCGCGCCTCTCCGGGCCCTCCCGGCTTCTCCCCTGCGCCTGCGCGCCGCGCCGGCCTTCCTCTCCTGCGCCTGCGCAGGTCTCCTGTTTCACCCCCCCCGCCCCCCATTCACGCGCCGGTGCCGTGCTCGTCTTTGTGCGCCTGCGCGTCCCCAGCTCCCCGCCCTGCCTCGCCTCCAGGCGCCTGCGCCGCATTATTTTCTTAGGGCGCCGCGTATCCTATTGTTCGCGACTCCGGAGAACCAGATTTCCAGCTGGAAATCGTGTTCATGGATTCGAATCCCAGCCCTTCCATGAACCACGGGTTCTTGTACGAATTATGTTGACTCTGCTGCCTCGTTTCACTATATGAAAGATAGAGATTTACATATAAAATAAGTATAATATAAAATGCATGCCTTACCTATGATACATATGTAAAGTAAATGGTTACTATGCTATATATGACATATATCATAAATATGTATGTATATATGACATATACATCATAAAACGTATCTAACATATACATGTACTGTTCACATATTAATCTCAGACATTTGATATTTTATAATACATTTAGTATAAAATACATTATTTTATATAGAAGTTAATACATAATATTAATAAAATACATAATATCAATAAATCTTTCATCTATAAGAGCATTTAGCTCGAAGGTTTGCAGCAAGGACTCAGTGGTGGACTCACGTCAGAGAGCTCTACAATTTGATTTTTTTCAGACAGGGCCTCTCTGTGCAGCCCAGGCTGGCTTTGAACTCGTAGAGATCCTCCTGCCTCAGCCTCCCAAGTGCTGGGGTGACAGGCGCACGCCTCCATGCCCAGCTTGGCTGTCATTCTTACAGTGATAGCTCCTTTTCCCTCTCTGATGGCGTGGCCTTAGTGAGGTCCTCAGAACCCAAACCCTCTTTTCTCCTTTCCCTATTACAGCTTCTTGCCCCTCCTGTCTCCAGGATCTGCTTTATTTGAGTACAGTTCCCACTCTGGTGTTTGTGGACTGAATGAATGCCCTGCCACCACTTTTTTTGAGATCGGATCTTGCTGCGCAGTTCAGGCTGGCCTTGAGTTCACTATGTAGCCCAGGCTGGCCTGGACCTCCCAGTGATCCTCCTGCCTCAGCCTCCCGAGTGCTGGGATTACACACATGTGCCACCACAGCCATCTGAATGCCCACTTTTAAGATTAGTATAGGGAATAAGAGATCTCAAATGACTTGTCCAGTCAGAATAATAAACCTGTCATCCCAGCACTCAGGAGGCAGAAGCAGGAGAATCAGCAAGCGTTCCAGGCCAGCCTAGGCTACATAGTGAACTCAAGGCAAGCCTAAACTACTACATAGTGAGCCCTGTCTCAGCAACAATAAACATGCAAGATCTTGGGGATGGTAATATAACCCAGAGGAAAGTAAAATATGTGGGGATGGGAAGTGTAAAATATAGTGGGTGAGGACAGCCTCCCTGAGAGATGCCGACATTTCAAAAAGACCATATGAGGTGGGAAGAGAGAGCCACGTGGGGATCTGGAGGAAGGTGCCCCAGGCCAAGGGCACAGCCGTGCAAAGGCCCTGGGGCAGGACAGATCCTGGCATTGCAGGAGCAGCAAGGCGGCTGTGTGGCTGGAGCAGAGGGAGGAGAAGTGGAGAGGGAGCAGGGGAAGCAGGGAGGGGAGGGCAGGCCCTGCGGGCTGCAGGAGGACTGGGGCTTTGGCCCAGGAAGGTGGGAGCCATGGAGGGCTGAGGGCAGAGGAAGGAGGACTGGACTCAGCGCTGCGCTGTGAGGACGAGGTGGGAGGGACCAGGTCGGGCACTGGGCTGGAGCAGATCAAACCCCGCAGACTGGGAGGGTGCAGGGCTGTGGGCTGTGATGGTGACAGCTGCCATGGAGGGAACCGACTTGGGGCTCAGGAGGAGAGTGACGTCAGCAGTTCCACTGGGGTCTGTTGGGTCTGAGACACCTGTTAGATGGGGCGCAGTTGTGTCTGAGAGCCCAGAACGGAAGGCAGAGACGCCCCCCTGACTTCAGATGGAACCACCGATCCCCCCAGCCACAAGCGAGCGGGGCCCACCTGTGTGCCACGTTGGACTGTCGGGTCATGCGAACGCTTGAATGTGTAGCAGAGCTTGAGTTCCCGGGATGCTTTTGGAGACAGAGTCTCGCTGTGTAGTTTAGGCTGGCCTTGAACTCGCTTATGCAGCCCGGGCTGGCCTCAAACTTGGGACAATCCTCCTGCCTCAGCCTTCCGAGGGCTGGGGTGACAGGTGTGCGCCCTGTATCTAGCCCAACACTGTATCTAGTAAAAGTGAAAGGAACGTGGAAAAACACCACAGGGCAGAGGGAAGCCAGGCTTCTCAGGCAGGCCGGGCGGCGGCGGCCGAGTCCCTCGGGGCCTCACGAGGGTGTCCCTCCGGCAGCTGGGCCTGGAGCGCTTTCACACCGTGGGCATCCTGGGGCTCAACTCGGAGGAGTGGGTGATCGCCAGCATCGGGGCCATCATGGCAGGGTAAGGAGAGTGTCTTCCCAGAGCGTGCCAAGGAGGGTGGCTCCTGCCTGCCCCTTCTGGAGACAGCTGGGCTCTCACTGTCTGGTCCCAAGGCCGGGAGCCGAGCCTGAGCGACCGCTTAGTCTGTGCTCTGTGGGACTCCCCGCAACCCAGTCCTGAGCATGCTCAGTTCACCCTTCTAGCTAGATATTCTCTCCCCCAGTGAACTCCTATACAGCTCGTGAAGCCCGGCCCTCTTCCCCTCTCCTCCAGAAAGCCCTTCGCATGCCTCGGGGCTCCCAGCACTCGGTACTCCCTCCACCTGTCCAGGTCATTGAGGGAAGCCCTTCGGGCAGGAACCAGACCCCAGAGGCCCCTGAGCCACACCCTCAAACAGGGCACGCTGTGGGTGTCAGGTTATCGGGGACTCCTGAACCCCTCAGTGCCCAGCAGCACTCACCACAGGCCTCGAGCTCCCGGACTCTGCTTCTAGAGGCATCTCTGTCGGCATCTCGCCCACCACCTCCCCAAAAGCCTGCCAGGTCATCGCCAAGCACTCTGAGATAAATGTGTTGGTGGTGGACAGCAATAAACAGCTGGAGAAAGTCAGCCAGGTGAGAACCTCTCAGGCCAAGGAGCCAGGCAAGGCAGGGGGCCGCACCTGACAGAAAGGAAGAGCTGGGCGTGGGGGCACACGCCAGTCATCCCAGCACTTGGAGGCTGAGGCAGGAGGATCACGGAGAGTTTGAGGCCAGCTTGGGCTGCATAGTGAGTTCAAGGCCAGCCTAAACTACATAGTGAGACTCTGCCTCAAAAAAAAAAAAAAAAAACGAAAGAAAGAAAGAAACTTAAAATGGTCCACCATGGTACAGTCATGTGTGCTTTGCCCCATTAAGGGCACCGTGGTGGCGCCCATCTGTAACCCCTGTGCTGTGCAAGGCTGAAGCAGGAAAGTCCCAAGTTCAACCCCAGCCTGCACAACGTAGTTGACTTAGCAAGACGGTGTCTCAGAATCAAAAGGGGGTGGGTGCTGGGGATGTAGTTCAGTGCACAGGTCCTGGTTTTGGGGCTGGGGATTTAGCTCAGCGGCAAAAGCACCTGCCTGACAAGCGCAAGGTCGTGAGTTCGGTTCCCGGTACCGGAGAAAAACCAAACAAAACAAACAAACAAAAAAAAAACACAGGTCCTGGTTTCAGTCACTAGTACTAGGGTGGGAAAAAAACAACATTGGGTGGGAGGCTGAGGCAGGAGCATTGCATGTTTAAACCCAGCATGGGCAACTCACCCAGATCCCGTCTCTACATGAAATGTATAAAAAGCCTGTAGTGTAGCTCAGCGGTGAGCGCTTGCTTAGCAAATCAAGCTCCTGGGCTTCATCCCCAGCACTGAAAACAAAGGAAAGAGATGAGGGTCCCCTTGCCATCTCAGGAGGGAGCCCAGACTGCAGCGGCCGGGTCCCAGCGTGGTGGTGCTGAGCCCAGGGGTCCTGCAGATCCAGAGCTCCCTGAAGCACCTCAAGGCGATCGTGCAGTACGAGGACGACATCCAGACCGCACAGCCCAATCTGTACTCGGTACGTGCGCCGCTGGGTGCCAGCAAGGGCCCCGGGCCCCCACTGAGCCCGCAGTGCTGTGAGGGGCGCTGGGGGGGGGAGGCTCCTGGGTCAGCTCTGCCCCCGCCGCCCACTCCTGGCCTCTCGGCAGTGGCAAAGGTTCCTGGACCTTGGCGGCGACATCTCTGATGAGACGCTGGACCACATCATCGACTCCCAGAAGCCAAACCAGTGCTGCACCTTCGTGTACAGCCTGATGGGCACAAGCTCGCCCAAAGTCATCATGCTCAGCCATGACAACGTGAGCGTCGCACGGGGCGGGCTGGCGGCGGGCCGCCGGGGGCCTGCAGCTAACGGCCGGGCTCCCGCAGATCACCTGGACCACGGCGGCCACCGTGCAGAGCCTGGGTTACAAGTGTCCACCCTTCGGGCAGGAGGTGCTGGTGAGCTACCTGCCGCTCAGCTACGTGTGCGCCCAGATCTTAGACATGTGGGTGGCCATCGCCGTGGGCGGCGCCCTCTACTTCTCCCCACAGGACGCTGAGAGGGGCAGCGAGGGCCTGCACCCGCCTGGTGCTGTGAGTACCGCCCGGTGCGGAGTGGGGAATCCTCGCCTGCACCCTACTGGCTGTGAGACCTCCGTCCTTTTCTGTCTGGGCCTCAGTGTCCTCATCTGTGAAGTACAGCCGGGGAAAGGGTTGTGAGCCGTTATGCTGGGGACAGCACACACACACACACACACACACACACACGCACACACACTCCTGCACTAGGGGGTGACTTACACTGCAGAGGCACAGTCATACCTGATACCTACAACTTAAAGGAAGGATTTATTTAGATATGTTTTTTATTTTAATTTTTTTTTGTGGGGGGGACAGGGTCTGGCCTTGAACTTGTTTATGTAACCCAGGCTGGCCTTGAACTCAGGCAAACCTCATGCCTCAACTTCCCAAGCACTGGGATTAGGGCGCGCACTGCCTCGCAGAGAGGTCTGTGCCGGTGCAGTTATAGCCCTGTGGGCCGGCCCGAGGCAGAAGCGGGCAGCGGGGCCTGGCGGGGAAGAGCTGCTCGCATTGCGGCTGTTAGGAAGCAGAGATGGACACGCGGTGCTGCGGAGGGGGCCGGAGCCTCCCGTGACCCTGACAGCAAGTCAGCAGTGGCTTCTTCGTCCCGTCACCTTCCACAGCCCCGCCTGAGAGCACATGAGGCTCTGGGGGATATCTGCGCCCCAACCCCAACCTGGGCAGGACAGGAAGTGCAGGAAGCTCAGCGGACGCGCTGAAACTGGACAGACACGAGCCAGGCATCCGCAGAAGGCGGCGCGGCACCACGGCACGGCCATCCACCCAGTGCTCAGCCTTCAAAGGAAAGAATTAGCTGGGTGTGGTGGTGGCGCACACCTGTCATCCCAGCATTCAGGAGGCTGAGGCAGGAGGATGGAACGTTCCACCCAGCCTGGGCAATTTAGTGAGTTAGACAGATGCTGTCTCACAATAAAAAAATAGCAAATGGGCTGGGGACAGAACTCATTGTGAAGGTTCCATCTCCAGTATAGAGAAAAAGAAAGAGAGAAAGAAAGAAAGAAAGAAAAAAAGAAAGAAAAGAGAGAAGAGAAGAGAAAAGGAAAGAAAAGAAAAAGAAGAGAAAGAGGAAAGAGAAAGAGAAAGAAGGAAGGAAAGAGAAAGAAAGAATGAAAGAAAGAGAAAGGGGCGGGGGATATAGCTCAGTGGCACAAGCACCTGCCTGGCAAGCTCAAGGTCCTGAGTTTGATTCCCAGTACCAAGAAAAAAGGAAGCAAAAGGAAAGAAAAGAGAGAGGAAAGAGGGAAATCCTAATGCTGGTTCAGTGTGGATGGAGTTTGAGGCCATGCTGCTCACGAGCTCAGCCCAACAGAAGGACACGCGCCGCAGGCCGCACTCCCAGGAGGTCCAGTGTCATCAGATGCACAGAGACAGGAAGGGTGACTGCAGGGCCGGGCCGGGGAGGGACGGTGGTCAGTGTTTCCTGGGGACAGAGCTTGAGCGGTGCAAAGTCCCGGAGGTGGATGGGAGGGTGGTGCATAGCCTTGGGATGTGCCTGATCCAGACGGGGTGGTG